TTTGTGTGTGTGTTGATAACAGTAAGTTTCTTAAATCTGACAAAAGCCAGACTGCAGACACAGACTTGAAAACCACAGTTCAGTTCCTCGTCTCTCCTCTGTTTAAATCCCCGGACCCTCTGGTTTAACCGAAAACACGTGCAGAGTTCAGTCCACCGCTGACTGCGGCGTACATGTGAGTATTTACATGTGATTCCTGGTGGAAAACAGGTCCAGCTCGGGGTCCTGAGGGGGTGGGATGACAGCATGCAGACTCGYGCTAAAACTTCAAGGGGGTTATGTCTGTGGAGGGGGGGCGGAGGTGAAGCCGGACTACAAAGTCCAGCTATCTTTATGGGACACGTTACAGGGACTGGGAGGGAAAGGCCAGATGGAGAAGATCTAAAGAGACAGGCACCAAATGTGTTCTTCAGAGGGAACGTGTCACCTTCAGTTCCCTGTGACAAGCAGGAGGAGGAGGAGAGGTGACAGAGCAGAAATCAGAAGCATCAAATCGACTTCAGTCTGTTTGACATCACAGGTTTAAWCTGCAGCAGGTTGTTGTGGTTGTTGTTACAACAATAATGTATTTTTATCGCCTGACCATTCCTTCCTAAACAGTTCCATTCTAATCTCTCTTCTCTGCTCCACCGGGGCTTTCTCCCATTGATCTGGATTTCTCTGGTAGAATTTCAATGGGGACAATCAGCGAACAGGAGGAGTCGTCCTGAACGATGACACTGATTTTTTGCTCTGTTTTAGTTTAGCAATGGCRTTGAAATTGAAAGAGTACCAGAAATAAAATTCTTGGGGATAATCATTGATGAAAAACTATCTTGGAAGTCACATATAGAGTATATCAGACAAAAAATATCAAAATCAGTTGCAATTATTTTTAAAACCAAAGAATTGTTGAATAGAAGTTGTCTGCATACACTTTATTTTTCACTTGTAGTACCATATGTCTTATTGTGTAGAGGTTTGGGGTAAAGTTTATACAACCAATATAGATCCAGTTGTTGCAAACTTTTTAACATTTGCAAGAAGCAAACCTGACTAAATGTATTAAGTGTTCATACTTACGTTTCTACAGTATTTTCTTAACATCTAAATAATTAATTTTGTATTTCACTAATAAATCGTATAGATGAGGCGTTCCACAACAAAACATGATCTGTTCTAGGGGTGCAACAATACATGTACCCGTACCAAACTGTTCAATACAGAGCTTTAGGTTCAATACACACTTGTATCGAACAATACAGATTTTTAAAACTGACTTTATCAGCTATCTCCTGAAGATGCTCTGTGTTGAAGGATCAGTGGATCTGTGTTCGACTACTCCACCTAGGCTGCAGTGTGGAGCACAGATC